AGAATAGAATAGAATAGAATAGAATAGAATAGAATAGAATAGAAGCTGGAAGGGACCTTGGACGTCTTCTAGTCCAGCCCCCTGCTCAAGTAGGAGAACTTCTATAATCTCAGACAATACTTTCTACTATTGACCCCTTTCCTAAAAGATCTGTAAGGGGCGTGCATAAACGCACCAACCTGCCTACCGTCCCAGTCCGATTGTTTCTTTTATTTTTCTTATATGTATCCATGTATTCATAACTATGTTTTTACTTGTGCGTATTATCTTGTAAGCAATTGACAAACCAAATAAAATAAAAAGTGGCTGTCCAGTCTCTTCTTAAAAACCTCTGGTGATGGAGCAACCCAACTTCTGGTGGCAAGCTGTTCCACTGGTTAATTGTCCTCACTGTTAGGAAGTTTCTCAATGCCAGACTGCTTCTCTCTCCTTGATTAGTTTCCATCCATTGTTTCTTGCCTTTGCCTTCTGGTGCTTTGGAGAATAATTGGACCCCCTCTTCTTTGTAGCAGCCTCTCAAGTACTGAAATACTGCTATCATGTCACCCTAAAATTAAAGACATTTTAAATAATTAAGCAACTAGCTTAGGGTGGTAGCTAGGTCAGACTTCTTTACCTCTCAAGAAGCAGGAAAAAAGACAGGAAAAAAACAGCAGGCAAAAAGAAAGTTGCTTGCCATTTGAAAAACAGGCTTGATGCTTGGAAGATGCCAAGCGAATCCATAACTCTTGATAAATGTTTCAAATTAAAGCACATCAACAGGATGTTTCCACTGATCAGCCACAAGGAAAAATCTACAAGGAATTTTGCTCATTTGCCTAAAGAAGTAAATTACATCTTTTTTGTTTTCTTTTGAAAAACCCAGTGACAAATGAGGACAAAACAGTAGCAATTAGCAAGGCTGGAGTCTCCAATGGGAGAGAACAGCGGGGTTTCGTTTTCTCCCATGCATAATTAAAAATCCTCTGTGCATTAAAAAGTAGAGATGTGACCTGAATTTGCATAATGACAGAATGCTTAATTACATAACCCCATCTCAAATCTGTCAGTGAACCAACAGATAATATTTGACAGTGCAAGTACACACCTAAGATGCCCTTCTACCTCCTTAGCCTTAACAAATTCAGGTTCTATTTACCTTAAAAGAAGAATAACTTGCCTTAGTCTGTTTTCTCCCCAATAATATATATTATTATGGCTGCTTCCCAGAATTCCCCAGCCAACATTAAAGTCCACAAGTCTCAAAGTTGCCAAGATTGAACCCCCATGATCCAGCAGATCTAAGGAGGCTGAACCTGCCCAGGGCTTCCTCAGCCTCTACCATGGCTCTGAAGCCACAACACCTGTTACCTGGGAAAGCAAATCCAGTGGAAACTTCTGTGAAGGTCTTTTCATATATTGGATATCCCGGGCCTTGAAATAATGATTTGTGATTCTCAAAAATAGGTCAACCTATTCTCCAAAACATCTAAGGCAGGGCTGATGTACTGAAAAAGTACAGAGAAGAGAAACCAGGATGATTAGGGGATTGGAGGGTAGAACATATGAAGAACGGTTGCAGGAACTGGGCCTGCTAGTCTAGTGAAGAGAAGGACCAGGGGAGACAGGATAACAGTGTTCCTATATTTGGGGGGCCTCCACAGAGAACAGGGGGTCAAGCTATTTTCTAAAGTGCCTGTAGGCCAAACAAGGAACAATGGATGGAAACTGATCAAGGAGAGATTCAACCTGGAGATAAGGAGAAACTTTTTGACAGTGGGAATAATCAACCCATGGAACAGAAGTTGCCTTTGGAAGTTGTGGGAGCTTCATCACTGGAAGCTTTCAAGAAGAGACTGGACTGCCTTCTGTCAAAAATGCTGTAGGGTCTGCTTGGGTAGGGGTTGGACTAGATGATCTACAAGGTCCCTTCCAACTCTGATTATCTGCTATTGTTAAGGGCAAGATACAACGGATGGAAACTAATAACCAAGGAGAGAAGCAACCTAGAACTAAGGAGGAATTTCCTGACAGTCAGAACAATTAACCAGTGGAACAACTTGCCTCCAGAAGTTGTAAATGCTCCAACACTGGAAGTTTTTAAGAAGAGATTGGATAACCATTTGTCTGAAATGGTGTAGGGTTTCCTGCTTGAGTGGGGGTTGGACTAGAAGACCTCCAAGGTCCCTTCCAACTTCTATTATTCTCTTCTGTTCTATTCCAAGATTGTGCTGACACACCATCACTTGCAGGCTGCACTGTGGTTTTTAACAGGAACACTCAGCAAGATACTTTTATGACTCAATGGCATCTAAGTGAAACTGAGTTGAAGGTGAACATTGGTTTACCTAAGCCGATAACAGCTTCTATTATCATTATGTTCAATAGAGTTATAAAGATACGGGCACACCTATCTTGGAATCCTAAACTGTTTTTTAATAGGCATCAAGTGCTTATAATCAAGTAATGGCTCTCACTGAATTTCTTGTGAGATAAAAGGCAAACGGAAGAAATAATAACCGAGAAAACAGATATAGAAATCAATCAGCAATTCATATTCTTGCAAGCCTTACCTCGTCGGAAAACAACCGACTGGAAATAACAACAATAACATGGTTAGGCTATTTTTTTAAATACCCAGCAAAAATGTCATTGGCCGAGAGTGAATTCAGGGCTCTAAAAAGTAAGACAAGTGAAGATATTCAGGATGTAACTCTGTATTGTTCTTGCTGTGAGCATTAGATAAAACAGGTACTGGCAACTTTGCAAGAGGATTTTCCCAAACCTGGAGAAAAAAAAAAAAATACCACCGGCATTTAATTGGAATTACAACCATGGAAAACCGGCTTTCCCTCTCCACCAAAAAGAAGCTGTGTGTGTTTGTTTGTTTTCTCTAATGAAGCCTGCATGACTTTGATGTTTTATATACAGTCATGGTAACCTGAAATTTACTGGTGCCTCCAGTCATACGCCGGCTGCACCATTTGACTCTTTCGTTCCATTTGCGCAACTCCTTCCCTTTCTTCTTCTTCTTCCCTGCCGGTTTGCTAATCCACCAAACACACGCACACAGTTCAGCATGAATTAATTGGGCCCTTAATGCTTCTTTACAAGCATGCTGGTTTAATTATTATCTTTTTTTATAACCACTGGGCTTAAGTAGCCACAGCAATTTCCCACTCTCTTCTTCTTTGTTCAGACGTGGGTATTCATGACGCTGAATTGCAAGGAAAAGCACTTGAGAAAGAAGGGAAAGGAAAGACGGACTGGAGGATTCTTTGGATGACATAGGCACAAAACCGACTACAGTAAGTGACAATCTTGGTTCCCTGCTGAAACAAAGGGGATTATTTATGAACTGGCCTTAACAGCCCCCAAATTGTGAATAGAAAGCTCAAAGTAATTTTTTAAAAATAACAAAATAGACTTATTACCTGTAAAAAGAAATTAGGATTGTCCTGGAACTTTGTGATTAAATTTCTACCTGTGCCATTCAAAGGGAAATCTTTAGAACAGGGGTTCCCAACCTGGGGTGCTCGTACCCGCTGGGGGTGTGAGATGATATTCCAGTGGGGGCGAGAAAAGTCCAGGTAAATAATAGGATATTGGCTATATGTTGGCATTTTTATTTTCTTTTGCAATGGATTAACTTAACTGAGCAAAATATAAATTTCAGGGGGTGCGAGGTTCGAGTGAAATTTCTTTAGGGGTACGGGGTGAAAAAAAGGTTGGGAACCACTGCTTTAGAACTTCAACTCTCTGAACCCTTGTTCAGGAATAACAACCATGCTTCTTCTAGCAGATACACAGAATATAGAAAGTCCTTCATTTATGACCACATTTGAGCCCCAAAATGTATGTTGGTAAGGGAGACAGTTGTTCCGTGAATTGTTACGTAGCCCTATTTTATTTGCCTTTCTTGCCATGGTTGTTAAGTGGATATTGCAGTTACTAACGGGGTAGTTCAGTAAATCTGGCTTCGCCGCTGACTTTGCCTGTCAGAAGGTTGAAAACGGGGAAATAGCAACTGGGATGCTGCAACTGTCATGAGTCAGTTGCCAAGGGTTTGAATTTTGATCACGTGACCAAGGGCAACAGACGTAAAGGTGAAAAATGGACATGTCACATTCCTCAGTGCCGTTGTCATTTCGAACAGTCACTAAATGAACTGTTCAAAGTTGAAGTATCTGCATCTATGTGTAATCTTCTAGATGAGCTTTTTAAGATGTTGATCTATCTATTTAGAGTGCAAATAAGGCACTTCCGAGGATCAAGCTATAAATAAAAACAAACAGAAGTTTGTTTCTGGTAATCAGTACAAAATATAGTGAACAGCGAAAAAA